CCCACTTCGTGAAATGTTTGCACAGAGGGCTCTTGTTGATTTGCTGGCCCGCCTTCACTTAGGGCGGGCACGAGGCTTGCTGGGGCCTTAGCCCAGAACATGTACATCATGGCAAGGCCCCTTCACTTAGGGCGGGCACGAGGCTTGCTGGGGCCTTAGCCCAGAACATGTACATCATGGCAAGGCCCCTTCTTGAGGGCTCAATCCTCACATTCCATCCCCCTTAGCTTCGAAAGTCTGCTGAGATGCTTACTTCGCACGTGCCTTCCCTTTCAGCTTTCTCTCGTATTCTGCCACCACTTGAGGAGCTGTCTCAATCAGTTCCTCTTTGGTAAACCAACGATCTTCTTTTGGATCCGTACGATGCCTGAATCGGACGCGGTACTCTCTCTTGGGCTTGGGAGGTCTTCCTCGGCCCAGCGGCTTTGGAACAGGCATGTCCCTGTGATCCACAATGTCGTCGATGTCTACTTGACCATCCATGGTTGGGGGCAGCATCGACCTCCTTGAAGGGAATTGATCCGTCTCAGCGAAAGGTGCAAGCTTTGAGGCATGAAATACAGGGTAAGTGCGTAGGTGTCCAGGGACACGGATGACATATGTGGGACCATCCATCTCATCCCCCACTATATCCGGGACTTCCCAAGGACCAAAATATTGAGGCATTAGTTTACGAGAGATTCCGAATTTCCTGTCCTCGCTCACTACCCTTGACCCAGACACGTTCCCTACCTGAAATGAGGACTGTCTGCGATGTTGATTCTCAGAAGCAATCATTGCTTGCTGAGCTTTCTTCATATGCTCGACAGCTTCTTGCAGCAATTTCTCATACTGCACACCATACTCGAGTGTGTCTGGAGTTGCAGCGGGTCGGTTTTCGGGTAGGAGGAAGTCTAGGGCTGATCTAGGCTTCCATCCCAAGTGCAGCTCATTAGGACTAACGCCGGTACTGCTGTGTACAGCATTGTTGTACAGGCTGGCGATGAGTGGCAACTGCTCATCCCAGTCATCCTGGCTGGGCTTGATGTAATGCCTCAGCAAGTGCTGTACAACTCTGTTCATTTGATCGGCTTGACCGTTGGCTTCGGGATGATTCCCTGAAGTCATCTGAAGTTGACTGCCCATCTGTTCAGCAGTCTTCTTCCATAGCTCACTTGTGAAGCGGACATCTCTGTCACTAACGATGGTCTTTGTTAACCCAAAGTCACGCACCCAGTTGTCCTTGAACAACTTGATGACATGGTCAGTCCTTGCGGTCTCTGGCATTGCAACTAGTCTAGTGTACTTGGTGAATCGATCGATGATGACGAATATGTGCCTCTTGCCACTCTTGCTGGTCACTAGGGTGAAATCCATGGAGACACTCTGTCCTGGACCAGCGGGAATAGGTAAGGGCTTTAACAACCCAAGCACTGCTCGAGTTCGCGGCTTGTCCCGTTGATAGACCTGACAGGTCTCTACGTACTTTTTGGCGTCATCCAACATTCCAGGCCACCAAAATCGCTGTACTAGATTAGCACTTGTCTTCTTGTAGCCAAAGTGTCCGGTTGCGTCATGGCATTCTCCTAGAAACAAACTACGCAAACGTTCACTAGATGGAATTACTAACCTTTTTACTCCGGCCTTATCAAGATAGAGAAGCCCGTCCACCATAACAAACTCACTCTCTGTGGCCTTATCTTTTGCCTGAAGTTTGCGAATGATGTCCATCGTGACAGGATCTTCCTGATAGGCTCCCACCAACGATTGAGTTACTTCATCAGACACGCCAAAGTCAGAAACAAGCGCACCTAGGTAGTCTGCCCTACGTGATAGCGCATCTGCAACCTTGTTGTACTCTCCCTTCAGATACTCAAGCTTGAAGTCATATTGATCTATGACCTCAATCCATCGCTTGAGTGCGTCAGAAAGAGCCGGTTGAGTCTTGATCCATTTGAGGGTCTGATGATCAGTCCTCAAGTAGAAGAACCTTCCCAAAAGGAAGTGTCTCCAATGGACAATTGTTTTATATAGAGCATACAGTTCCCTTTCATAGGTGGACTTCGCCAGTTTCTTTGATGGCATCTTCTTGCTCATGTACTCAATCGGTCTCAACTTTTTCCCATCCTGTTGAGCCAGCACTGCGCCAATGCCATATTGGCTTGCGTCAGTGGTCACTATGAATGGCTTCTGAGGATCGGGAACCATGAGAACTTCATGATTCATGAGTGCATGCTTCAATCGCTTGAAAGCACCCTCGCACTCATCACTCCAGTCCCACGGCGTGTCAAGTCGAGTTAGATCTGTCAAAGGAGAGGCGACTGTAGAATAGTTCTTTACGAAGTTCCTATAGTAGCCACCAGCGTTGTCACGCGGGGATCCCCGGGGCCCAAGCCGGGGTAGGGGTTTCAACCCCGGACCCCCGCCGCGGGGCTACCCGACCCCCGCCCCCGCAAAATCAACCCCGGCCCTGCCCCAACCCCGCACCCCC